ACGTTTAACATAAAATAAAATATCAGGTTGTGGCTTTCGTTTGTTTCATTATCACCTTCACGTTTACGCTTTGATTCCACGACGAAGTCCAAGGGCAGTTTCGTAAACAGCACGACACAAACAAAGAATAAATTACATAGGTTCAGAGAGAGGGGAGAGACGGGGAGGAGCCGAGCTGATTATTTACGCTCGTACACATTCTGAAGAAAACAAACCAAGTTGATCGCACACACGCGAAAGCCGAAACGTCGTCAGCTTCTAGCGTCTTTGGCATATCGCGTATAAATCGAATTTTTCCGAGTTGGGCAGAACATTTTTCGCATTTATTTTCACGCTTAGGACAAACCGCGCTGGAGGAGGGTCTGCTGTGTTAGGTTTCTACTGAAGTACATTACACTGCTCCATTGCTCACTCCTGACAGCAGGAAACTCCGTTTAGTTTTTTTTATACATTGCCGCTTAGTTTAAGAACATTAGCCCATTAATTATGAGGGTTCATCGGTCTGCTGATGGAGACAGCAAGGACCTCTGAAACGTCTGTAAAATTGTACCAGACTACACAGCAACAACAACCCAGAAGACAGCCATTTTTATTTTTTATTTTTTTGGGCACGTATACGTTTCTGGAAAATATATTTTATCATTTGTAGCTATTCGGGTATATATAAATGTTTTTCTCTCTAATTTAAAATAATTTTTTTTTCATCCAGATGTTATGATATCGAAACATAACATATCGATAGTAACATGGTTCTCTCCCCTTTGCGATGTTTTGTATTGGAACTGTCCACGCAAGGTTTCGAACGCTTGTGATGCTAATTGATTTTCTATTTCGGAGCAGAGCACATTGATTGGCTCGCCTCACACAGATTCCCTGTTTCCCTAGCGTTCCTCTTACACCGTCATTAAAATTTACTGTTCATTTTGAAATCGCAACCCATTTATCTCTCTCTCTGAGTAGCCAGTGGAATTATTGTTTCCATGTGGACATTGACGTGTTTATATATATTACCTTTATCGTCGTCCACATAGGAATAAACGCTGTGCGTCGTTCTTCTATTTGCTCCATTTTCGAATATTACGATAGAGTCGTTCGTTCCTTCGTTCGGTGCAGAATCTAAGAACATTTTGACCAATACTGTTATGGTTTTATTGATACTGTTGTTTTACTGTGACTGAATATCCTTTCTCTGCCTGAAATACCACTTTCGATACTTTTTTTTTTCTATTATTGTGTGGATTTTCAGTCTTAGCCGGCGGTGACAAGAGAAATTCACGACAAACTTATCTTAGGACGTTAATTTACAGGATACGTAGACGTTTTTGAGGACAGATGACCAGAATGCGATGAAGTAAAATGTTGAGACGGGTGTCTAAAAGTCTGTGGCATAACTTCTTTGCGTTTAGGTGGAACAAATAATTCTTGTTTGCCAGTATGCAAATAATGGTACGCCCAGTTTCAGGAATATGTTGTAAGTCTTAACTTCTTTTTGTCCTCTCAGTACGTTGACATGAATAAGTTCTTCGACAAATAAATTAGGAGGCAGTAGTTTTAGGGTCATTCACGCAAACCATAAGGTCTAAAATCCCTTAACAGCCTTATGTTGCAAAGGTATAATGTCAGCCTTAAATGCACACACACACACACTCAATAAACATTATCTATTAACTGACTAATTAAATTGTACGCATTTTATAGAACTTGAAGGTTCATTATCGTGTTCACAAAAACCCGTCACAGGTTTCTACCTTGGGTTAGATTAATCCAGTCTGCACCCACAAACTCGATTTTCCTAAGACCCATTTTAATATTATATTTCTCTGGATCTTACAAGTGGTCTTTTTCCTCTCCAGGCTTTCCTATCAAAACATTTGTTTCTTCGTTATATATGATGTGATATTCAAGTTCCTTGCACTTGTCGTCATTGAGAAATCTTTTGGTGTTCCTTCCCGTGGTCTTTGTTTCACCTCCAAAACAAAACCTAATTTTAGATTTATTATTTCGTAGCTTCAGTAAAATGTCTCTTCTCATTTTAGTTCTGAAGTACATTTCCTGTAGCATTTTATGTACTTTCAGTTATTTTATACCATGGATATTTGGATTAATCTGACTCGGGATAGGGGTCAGGTGATCGACCTTTGTAATATCGATCTTCGGGTGTCATAAATTACAGGACATTTTCTTAATTGCCCGTGCTACTGTTAGCTTTTCAAGAAGTACGCTGTTCTGCGGAGGTAGTTTGGTACTTCGATGTCTTGTCTTCTGGGTTCCAGCGCCGTGAAAATCTCAGGTCCTACTTAGTTTTGAGTTTGTTAACTTGTTCAGTGATCCAGGCAGTTTTACATCTGGGCTGTGTGAATTCTATTTTTGGATCCGTTATAGTGTTCCGTAATTTCGACGACGTTCAGAATTATTTTTATTTTAATTTTTGATACTTCATTGAAAACCAGTTAATTTTGCTGTGAAATTTGAGTCTAGACGGATGATTACATGCGATAGTTTCGGGTCTAACGTGGATTTTACAATACATTTTAATCTTGTGTCCCCACTAACCAAATGATACGAACTGGTGGCAATGCATGTCCTCTCAGAAAGCATGTTTGTTGCGTCTTATCGGAATGCGGAATACAGAGCGTATCCTTGTTTATGTAGCAGTACACAACGAGACTATTGGTAAGGTAACTGTTCGGATGATTGTAGTGTTGCCAACTTACGTAAATATAAAATAATCGGAACAGTAATTCTCTTGCTGGAAAAACAGAGTTGAGTCCGTTGCTCTCACTGTCAATGCAACGTTTAAACTGGTTTATGTAGCTGACTGTACCTGCCAGTATGCATGTTAAGTCGGGAATGAACTGCAGCGAAGAATACATTGTAATAATAGGAAGGAGAAAATGTATCTCGTACAGCCAAGATCGCAATGGATATTTTCATTAGAATTTCTTTAAGAATTTGGAGGGAGGATTTGATTGGAAGTAAAGCTGACAAACACGTTTCATAAACACAGAAGGTTAGCTTTAAATTTTTTAAATGTTAAGTAATCCTCACTGCACCAGTGTCATAATATGAAATCATCAAATGAAGTAAGATGCTGAAGATAGGAATAAATTTAAAGACACAAGGTCGTCATAAACCTTTAGTCAAAATTCTGAAATTTTAAAGACTTTTCGTCACATTTATGCAAGTCTTGGCGCGTACGTCCGTCTGTATTGCAGCACGCAATGACGCTAAGCGTCATTAACACGTCTCCGTTCTGTTGAAAATGAACACAACAGCACTTACGATGCACGTATGTACGTATGTTTGTTGGATGTATTAATTTCGATTGGATTTACAATTCATGATCCGCAGGGTACATGTGGTTTGCAGAGGATATCATAGTTTGAATGATTATCGAGAATCCACTACGTGTTTCGACCTCGATTGTTCATCTTCAGGTGGTTCTCCTTAAGTATTTGAAACTAATGGATATGACTGCAAATTAGTAAACATCTTTTCTATTTGCCGACGTCACCACGTATTGGGCTGTCTTTAGACACTTGCCAATTTTAGTAGAGAGGTTGTTAAGTAGGCGTAGTTACCGGTGGAAAGCTGTGGGCTCCATTCATGTGGCGAATAGTCAACTGGCGATGTTTAAACGTAGCCGTGAAGTTCATGAGGAAAGGCCAGAGTTTTACAAATTAATTTCGCGTCTCAATTAAAAACACAAGTCGTCTCCCTTACAAAGATCAAGGTGCATCGTGCAACTTTTTTTAGATGATGGTTTCTTAATGTACTTGGATAAAGTAGATTTTTTGATTAATTAACATAAATATGCCTGTGAGGAGAACCAAAATGTGTACAAAAATTTGTTTCGAGAGCCTGACGGGAAAAGACCTAAGCGTGGATGGAGGGATTTATTTGAAAATGACTCTTTGGGAAATTGGGTTAAGAGGGTGTGGATTGAATTTATCTGGCTTATATACGGACCTGTGACGGGCTCTTATGAATACGGCAATGAATATTTGGATTTCATTTTATGTGATAGAAATGCCTGCGGCTTTGTGATGGCTTCCATCTTTTCTGCCTTTCCTTTGTTTTGCATTGTGCCTAAATGTGTTAGATGCGATTTACCGTCAGTAATCTGTGCGATATTTATTTTGTTACACACTGTAGTTCCTTAGCTTCAACAACCTGTATTGTACAGAGGCGTTCTGTGACTATGAGTTCACTGTTGGATGATTCAGAAACACTACAACAGCGCCTCTATGTGAGGTGTAGAGAGACAGAGATGGTAGCTGTGTATGTTTTGGCGTAGTTCCATTGAGATGGTCGTGTTTGCTGGCAACACCCCAACATGCCTTATGGTAAAATAAAATGAAAAGTGAAACAAGAAGAAGAAGAATAAAGATTGGAAATAGGGTGTTCCACAAGGGTTGGTACTGTTGGATAGCAATTTGTTGAGGATGATGTATGGTTTATACCCGTCTGGATGTAAAGCGATTCATCGATGTTTTGACTACGGAGAGGCGTAGGTAGGTAGATGCATGTAAGACTGATTGAATAGCGCCCAAGGAATAGATGAAGTTTATGTCTGTGTCTTCTTGGAAAGACACGTGTCTCGAATGCAAATTCATAAAATAAAAATCTTGATCTGTTTGCAGGATGGGAACAGATTTCAGAACGCATTAGGGCTGTTTTGAAATCTGTACGTGGTTTTGGGGGGGTTCCCCACAAAAGACGGGAGAATTTTTGATCGGACCATCAATTGTTATACGCCGAGTAAGGAGCACAGCGGGGATGAACAAAGTTAAAATTTCGAAAGGATGCATTGGTTATGTGGGTGGTTTTTATGCTGTCTTGAGATGTATCATTTACCTGTGCTTCAGTAATTCGCAAGGGTAAACCGAGCCATTAGCTTCTGTTAAAGAATTTTGTCTGCGACACCAGACCACTTTTTAAAATCACGGAGTGCGTGTTAGAGTTATTGTTTTCACAGGGTTTTTTTTCTGTTTTTACAGGTAAGTGAAGAACATGGTGTCTCTGCCCGTACAATTTGTTCGAATGTCTCACTTCAACTGCCAGTAAGTCATTTTGTAGTAATCTTAGTAGTTAGAAATGCACGACCTACATGCATGGTAATTATAGCTAAACCTGTCCAAGGCGGAACCTTCATTAAACGGAAACTTCTCTTTATCGGAAAATTTGCGAAGAGAAGCTTTGTATTTCCTGTTCAATAAATGGTAACTGTTATTACAGGTTTTATTGTAGGCCGATGTTCTGAGCCAATTGAATTGAACCCACACCCTATTTGTATCGGGCCCAGTTTGCGCTGTGGTCTCCGACGTGACATTTCAGTTTGAGGTTATGTGACTAATTAATTTGTAATGTCCCCCATGCGTGCTGTATATCCCACCCATTAAGAAAGATTTGGTTTAGCAATATATTAATAAATTACGTGTTAGCTAGCGAATTTGTATATGCCAGCTCATGGTAAGGTTAGGTCGGGCTTACTTCATGTTATAAGCTCCGTCGGATTCCCCAGACCCCAAGTGTAGTTGTTGTCAAATATTAAGATTTTTGTCGTCCTGGAAATGTTTGTGATAAAATATTTGTTAACAGTTTAAAATGCAGTGGAAATTAAATGAGTCACCTGCTTCAACAGTCTTAATTTTGTATTTATGGGGTTTGTATGATTTTCAACGTTAAAAATCGATTGGTTCCTTAAACAGCATTAATAAGTTGATGTTAGTAACGGTGAAGTGTAGTGTTTTCTTTTCGGTACGGACTGAATTATTAAATAATATTTAGGCGAGCTTCTGCTTCAGACGTAGATGCATAAAACATGAGAAAGCTCGTCTCCTCGCACCCGATTATGTTTAATGCTCTGTGCGACTATTTTCTTCCTCATTAAGAGCGCTCCATACACACAAATATCTTTCTGCCCTGTCTTGCAATGGACCTGTGCCAGGAACCTACCTCTCATCTTTTCACTGATGTCTTGGCCAGGTTCGTTTTAGTTCGGTACATTCGAGTATATGATCTCTTCTGATTCTAGAGAAATGTAGACGGGACGTTTTAAAAATAGAGCAGGAAGAAAGTAATTCTTTACGATAACACTTTTCGTAAGGTTAGGCGTGATGTTTGTACAAAGGGGAGATGATGACGGCTTACAAATATGATTTTTTTTAAAGGCTGTCAGAACTAACAGATGCGTCTGCCTCTCCCTGCTTATGTTTAACAAATCATACGTCATTCTGTGACGTAGTATTTTTCAGATCCAAATGCTATGGTGTTAATGGAACAGAATTTATGAAACTTATTTTTAAAAGGATCCTTCTCGCAAAAAACACTTTATTACTGTGCGTTACGTATTAATAGATACGCAACATTCAAATATTCGTATGTTAAGATGCAGAGATGTTTATTCTTCATCGATTTATCTGGAAATAAAGTAGATTTAACTGCTGTTAACACTTAAAATTAAATTAACGTAAAATGTTAGAAATTTTAGTCTTCCAGTGGTCGTGTTTAAATGTCTATCGAGTGCACGTATACAGTACGAAGGTAAGGATCTAAAATATTTATGGAACACAAATGAATGGCATTATGAAGTTGGTTTTGGGTGTTGATTGAAATCCGTTGAAGTGTCCTTTCATATGGCACTAAGCATGTCGGGCGTGATACGTAATTCATGTGCCAGAATCGAGATTTATGGGTCTTTCATGACGTCTCCCCCACTAACCCTGTCGAGGATTAACTAGTCCAGCAAAAATACCTCGTTAGTGTGGGGCTTACTGCTTGCGAGACTGTGTTGTTTGATGACCGAATTCGTAATTTTATACACCGATTTTATCCTGTCACGTCTGATTCGAAAGCTTTTGAGTCATGGATATTGTAAACTGTGGTACTGTACTAGTTTGTGTATCAGAATTCGATAATGGTCAGGTCGTTGAAATCCTGGTGTTGAAGGTATTCTGTTTTGATGTTCGGTCGATAGATGTAATGGCTTAAAAATGAGCATATCGATATCGAAATTCGTTACAGAACAAAACGTCCTACGCTGCGAAAATGCCTGCGATTTCTGTATGCAGAATGTGAGCGTGATAGGTTACAAAATGTCATGAAAGCGTCGTATTTCAACTACGTGGTTCAACGTGTTTCAATGCTACGGACTGACTCTTAGTCAGGCGAAAATGTTTTTATGAGGAATTTCTGCTTTATATAACGAGGAGGCCGGAATTGGCCAAGAAATGGTCCCAACTCCCTGACAGATGAAGTCCAAATATTATTATTATGGCAGTCGTATGAAGAGATGCATTGACCCACGTGGTCGTGCTCAGAATGCGTGAAGGAAACGGAACACTTGGAAAAGCCGGGCGTTGATGGTAGGATAATATTAAAATTTATATGAGAAAATCGGGTTCCATTAAAGGGCCGGTAACTTTTTGAGGAGCTGAGGGTCTGATATCTTAATAAGGTGGTCTCTGAATCTGTCACTTGTTGAATTAAGTAAACGTTGGGATTTTGCTCTTAGCCCGGTGGATAACAGTGGGTGATTCGTTGACCAGTCGTTAGGAGCAGGAGAACGTTTATCAAGGAGTCTGTAGCCATACAGATGTTCCTTCGGGATTCATGCTGTTCAGCAACTTCCGAAAAAGTTTGATACTGTCGTCCCATGTATCCGTAGCGTAGAATTCTACTATTTGATTAGTGAAGATGGTGCCTGTGTTTTATCAGCGTTGTTCTCGACGAAGTAATTGTAATTATCTTAATTGCCGTGTGTCCCAGATAAGATAGTCATGCTGGAAGATGCAGGCGTGCATCTAAACAGTGACAAAGTGTCGAAAGTGTAATGTCCAAATCTGTACATGTTCTTGGTGGGTTTGAGGATTCCAAGGCGACGAGATTTCTTGGATGCAACATTGTGTAGGCTGGTAGGTATTAACCAACACTTCACAGGAGTTGACTGCCTCCATCTTCAGGGTGTTGAAAGTGTAGTTGGTTAGTCACAGACAAATATGTAGTATTATTGAGTAGTAAGACCATTTTGTATTGGTACACATGTACGAGACAGTTGCAGGACAACATTCTCGGTGGCGGTAGCACTGGCTACGTTTCGAATGAAGGTAACAAGCGAGGCTGTCGGATGAAATCGTGCCTTTTCTCTAATGTGGTCCATCGTCCTCTCTTACTGATCAAAGTAGCTGCTTGCCTCTTTGGGAGCAGTTGCTAAGATACAAAGAAACCTTTTTGTGTTGTACAGGGTACAAAAGAGCTGTTGGTCCGGTGTAGAAGTGATGACTGAGGCATGATTACGTTTATTTCTAGCAATATAATCCCGGGTTTCAAGTTTCGCTTGTCACCACCAGAGTGGGCACTACGAAGCCGTCTAACCGGCTTCCCTCCGCCTCAGAACTCCTCAACGGGCGTTGCACATGGCATAACAACATTAGGAAACCATTCCTTACAGAATTACTTCTCTGGTGCTGTTTGGGCACTTTTTACGACATCAGATTTGGTATTATGTAACATTTCAAGTAGTGACTTATATAACGTATTTAGTCGGATTTGAGGTTTTCACGGCGGCGAAGTCCGGAGATGGCCGTCTTCTAGGTTGTTGCGTCGTGAAGTCTGGTAGTTTACCAACGTTTTGAGGGCTGTGGTGATGGAGGTAGCAGGAACCTCTGAAACGTCGGTAAACTACCAGACTTCACGACGCAACAACCTAGTACTCGCTTCTTAAGAAATTAAATCACACAGTGGAGATTGAGTTATGTTGTAAGTTTGGGTTTCTGTTGGCGTAATTGTATTGATGATTATGATTGAACTTGTCGAATAAGCAGTCGCGTTGAACCGAGAAGGAGTGACCCTCAGCTTAGTGGTTGGATTGCGTGCTAACAAGTTCTCACCATGAAACAACAGAATGGTATGAAATGTTAACATAGAAAATGTTTTTCGGAAATCACCCCAAAATTTTATTAGTGTATTTTGTATTCAGGGTTTCAGAGTTACGAACTGAACTGTTCGCCACTTACCGGAAATCTCTTTACCTGTAGCCTAGCGTTGTGATATTTCATACGGACGTTGTCCACTGTTTGTTATATAAAATTTTTCGAAGACGGTGTGTTCATTTGCAAATGAAAAATAATATGGCGACAGTATCAGATGACGGAGTGCTTTAACCAAAGAATCACCCCATCTGATCTGATGTTCCATAACCGCTAGATCATATAGTGGTTTTTAATAACCTATTAATAATTTACAGAAGTCTTGGTCATAGACAGGCTGCTATCTAAGGGATTTACCCAAATTCACTGTCACACACTCTCATTTGTATCTCGTTACATATCTAGCCCCTAATGCAGAATAGTGTAACGTTTTATGTAAACCCCATCGGCAAGTTCTTTTTGTTCATGGTTTCATATGATTCTCAGATCAGAAAGGGGCAATTTATTCCAGGAGCATAAACCATCTACCGTTTGCAGTGGTGACACGTTGTGTTTTCTTTGCGGTACGAACTTAATTTTTAAACACTATTTAGACGAAGTTTCGACTTCAAAGGGTTAGGTGTCTGTTATTAATTCAAGCAGCCTTGGCATTGAGAGACATTAGAGTACAGACTAAGAAGGTTATGTGCAAGTTTTGTTTTTGTTGCATTATTTTCTTGTTCGCAAAGGAATAATATCGTACTCGTACGTCTATATGTGGAAATGTGATGGGAGCTATTCTTCAAGTTCAGCTCTGCCCTGCAGACATTCCAACTAAGGAAAAGAAGTCTGCTCGTAAGTGAAGGAGTTCTGTACTTTAGTTTCTTGTCAGCTACGCGACTTGCAGTTTGAACGGAAGATAACTTCTGTGAATTGTCAGCCACGAAATGAACGGACGACTAGGTTTCACGTATTAAATTAACAGATGTTCTGGCTGAAAATACAAATGTGATTTATGGATAAATTCCTGTGGAAATTCTAAACAGGCCTATAGGGGGGGGGGTGCCAGGAATGCAAAAAATGGCTACTTCCGCCTTAGCTTGAAACTTGGCTTATCAGTTGGCAAGCCGTTACTGCATCCCTGTACGCACTCT